ACGACCAAATTACATTAATTTTATATAATACAATTTAAAAATTGTCTGAATAGTTGTTTGCTTGAGTTTTTATTTGTTTTGTTAAGGTAAAATAGATCGAAGAAAAATATTAAAAAATATATAATTAGAATTTATTAAAGTACAATAACAATTTATTGCAGCTCTCTGTAATTATAGCTCTTGTGAGTCACCATATCGCATTTCATCATAACTAAATAAACAATTTTTCAGGAAAAAATTATTGTGATTCTCTATAAAGGATTTATGTTTATAATTAGTTAATATAATTAGAATTTTTTGAAAATTGAGTATGATGTACTATCATATTTTTATATTTTTAAATTTACTATAATTTTTATAATTTTACAAAACGGTATAGGTAAAGCAACTCTTAATTTATTCTGTTCTGAATTAAAAAATAAGTTTTGGAAATCAAAAAAGAACATGGGCTGTTCAAACGAGAAAAGGAACTTTTTTAAGGTAAATGTTTAAATAATAGTTTCTTTTTATTTCATAAATTATTGCATTTATTAAATTAAGGAGTTAGATGGATTTAATATTCTATAAAATAAAACAGTTTTAAAATATTAAAATAAAAATAATTAAACTAAGTCGAAAATCAAGATTATAAATATCAAAGTTTAATAAACCGGAAAATTAAAAACGCAAAACACAAAAAAACTTTTGCAAACTTATTCCAAGAATGTTACAATTAAAATAAACCTATTTGTTTTTAACTTAAATAGATTTATTAATTATAAATATTATCATACTTCTTAAACAAATAAATAAAGGTATTTTATATTTAATGTATCTTTAATTCATTTAAAAATTAAATTATGTCCTAAAAATCATTGCTGAAAAATGTCCCGAATACATATTTTAATAATTTCGAAAAATATAAATTAATTTAAAGCCATATAGAGAAAAATAAAATAAATGCTTTGAAGGATACCAAAGCAAATTGAAGGGATTTAACAGTTTGAAATCACAATGAATAACGTAATGAAATCTACGCAGGAATTTCCAGAAATGACAGAAACAAGTATGTATTTTTCGCATCATAATAATATCATGATTAATATTGACCTTGCTATAAAGTAAAATTGATATAAAGTAAAAGTAAATTTTAACAAACAATTTGAATAAATACAATTTAAATATAAATAGGTAATTAAAATTGGCAGGTTGTTTTTAGTAATGCTTTAGAAATATAGTAGGTACAAAATTAAAAATTAAAATTCTTGTATTACAGTAAAAATGCACAAAATTTCATGAAAATATAAAAAAATTGTATATAAATTAGAAAATATTTGTTTTAAATTATTAAAATTAGAATGTAGCAAGAATTTTAAGGATTATCTCGCTTTATAAATTTAATTATTCATAGGCTTGTTGTATAATTTAAAATATAATTATTATAATTTAAACCATTATAATTTAAATTAAATTAAAAATTTGTTTAATTTTGAATATTTATTGAAATATATTCTTAATAGTGTTTATTTCACTATGATAAATTTTAAGTTACTATTATTTTTTTAATTGCTAGTCGTTCAATAAAAATTGTTCATGTATTAGAACTAGTGATAAAATAATTAAAGTAAAAACCATAATAATTTAAATTAGTTTTAAAACACCAAATAAGTTTTTAAATAACTAACTATAAGTAACTTAATTACTGAACCAACATCAACAAAAGAATATGATTTTTCATATTGATAGGATTATTTAATGGATAAAATTCAAGTAAGAGATTTTCCTGTATTGTAGAAATTCCTGTATTGTACGCATTGATGAAATGAATATTTTAAAACAATTCGGAACCTATCAGTATAAACGCATCAAGATATGGATCACAATGTATATCGATGTTTTACCAAACCAAACAACAAATATTACAAAAACAAAACAAATTAAAAATAAACCAAATAAAAACCTGATAAAACATTGCCTTAGTTTCAGCCCTGACTTTTTTAAAAGCTTCATCTCCCTATGGTTACCCTTTATAACATTTAAAATTGTTTATTTATTTGATAGTAAAATAAGTACCAATTAACAGGATTTGATTCATGCTGAAGCTAATTTGAGATTTTTCGTTAAACTTACAATTAGTTTTCTTTTTGGTAGACATTAAACTTTTACTGTATATTAAAGAATTAAATATTAAATCTGCCATGTTCGAAAAATATAGATCATCCGTACCAAGTAAAGCATAAAATCAATTTGTTCTAAAAAACGTTTTTACAAACGGAAAGTTACATTTGAGTTTTAGCAATGTAATTAATTAATAATAAAAATTTATTTTATTTCATATGAATAAAAATATATAATTGAAAATTAGTGGACTTTTTTCTTTTATTAATTTTTTGTAATGAAGATAAATACATAATTTCAATAAGTTGCCTAAGATTTTAAGAAAAGTCTACAAAAATAATATATTACTTAATAGTTATTAACATAAAACAAACAATTTACAATTTTATATTGTGCAACCAAATAATTTAGTGCTCTTTTCGTTAGCTTTATAAAAAATATTAATGTAAAGTGCAATGTAAAGCGCAATATAATGTTAAATGATAATATGTATTATTGAGCGAATAATATGAATTTTAGTTTGTTTTCTAACAAATAGAATTAAAAATGATCCATCCACTAATGAATCATTGAATTAAAATTAAATAACTATAATTAACAATAATTAACAATAACAATTTGTATAAGAAAAATATTAACATAATAATTACACAATAATAATAAAATAATAGTATTAAAAACAATGACAATAATACTTAAATGTTATAATTAACAATAACATTAAATAACAAAAATTTTCAATAAATTATGGCTAATTTTATAAAATTAAAAATAATATTTTTTTGCTAGCAAAATCATTTAGAAATGACGGTATCTAAATAATAAATTAAAAATTTCATTTTAATTATATACCCCTAAAGATGGGTTATTTTTCAACTATCCTCCAGGGGTCTGTTTCAATTAGGATCACATCTGCGATGTGATGATATGATGATCATATGCGTGTTCCAATTAAGATCATATCATCATATCGTCATAATCATATGCAGGAACTTCATATGACGGCTGCATATGATTTGTCCGTCATATGACGACTCGTATCATCATATGATTGTTTCAAATAAAAATCATATTTACGATATGATGGGTCGTCATATCGTCATATTTCCGATGTGAAGGAAAAGGGAAAGAAATATTTTTAATTTTTCCCGTGTTTCCTTGTGTTGATGTGTGGTTGAATGGTTAAGGCGACTGGCTTCACTGACTGATATTTTCATAGGGTTGAGTTCGAGTCGAAGGCTGGAAATTAGGCCGAAAAAAATTTTTTTTTCAAAAATAAATGTTATTAAGCTTTGATTTTCATTTTAGAATTTTTTTTAATATTTTAAACTTGAAAAAACATTAAAAATTTTTATTTAGTCATTAATTAGCCAAAATTCTCAATATTTTCGCCTGCGGCGCAAAAAAATGGAAGAAATAGGAAGAAACCCCAGAAACAGAAAGGAAGTCCAATTTTAATCCTATTTTTTAATTGGATTAATATTTATGTGATGAGGAGCGGGGACCCGAATTTTTCGCCAAACCCGTACCCGAAATTTTTGCCAACCCGAAACCCGTGACCCAAAATGAAAACGCTATAGATTTAATTTAATTCTATTATTAATTAATGGATTCATTCAGAGTCCTTAGCTCGACAGTTTGAAAGCATTCGATACTGCTACTCTTAATTCTATTCATAATAAATAATAAAGTTTCATAATTTTATAAAACAGTAGGAAAATCATCCAAAAAAGGAAAAGAAAAATTAAGCGATACAGAAATGAATGCATTAGAACTTGGTAAATTATATAGTTTTAATTATGAATTGATTGTTCTAAAATTATTAAAATAATTTTAGAAGAGAAATCAAAAAAACTAGATAAACTAGCAAAAAAATTTATAAAAGACAACTTGACTGAAGATGGTAAAATATTTAATAAATTTTGATAGAGCAGTGAAATTTAAGCCATTTCGAGTAAAATTATAAAATAAATTTATGAGTTTTTCCATAAATGGTTCCTCCGCATTCATTCCTTCGCCCTTCCGCCTATGCGTTCGTATACCTTTTTATTTTGGTCCGCATCCTTAAGCCTCCTCTTTTCATATATATACATTATATGCATTAGATTGTGAAATCACTAGGCTACTAGCTTAATATTTCATAATTACATTTTAACATACCCCCTTATAAAAATCACAGTAAATGTTTTATTATTAATATTTTAGACATTCCACATATTTATTACCCTGACCCTCAAATAAAAAATGATAGTAAAGATAAATTTCATCTTATAATGGAATATTCTAAGAATTTTAATCAACTATACTCTTCTATAGAATATGTGAGCCTTAAGGAAAATTTCGATAAATTAGTTGAAATTATTAAAAAAATAAAGCAGGGGGATGGTAAACCGATCCTTGAATTGTATAGAGTAGAATATGTTTTAAAACTTTTGGAAAAATTTGAAGAACGGTCTGTTAAATATACTGAAAGTTTAAATGAAGAGGATGTTGAAAAGGAGGTAAAGTAAAGTAAATTAAATGTTTAAACTGAAATAGAAATTAGGCTGAAGTGAAAAATATCAAAAATTAGGTAAATTTATATTTTAATGTGAAGAGTATTTAAATTTAATCTCTTTGATATGTTTTGTTTGACAGTTCTTCTCAGTGGCTAAACAAAATAAAATAGGGTTTATCTAAAACTATATTGATCACTATAAAATTTACACACACGATAAAATTGAACACATTTTATAAACAATTTAAAAATAAATATTATTGTTATCCATTATATTTTACTAATAATTTAGGATTTGACATCTCTAGTAAGGGTATTAATATAAATTCTAATTAAGGCACGAGCAATTCAACAGATAATTGATTTAAAAGTTGCAATTAAATTGGGCTATTTACGTTATATTTATATGGAGGAATTATGTAGAAATTTAGACACGTACTACGATAAAGATAATGAATACAAGGTTTATTTAAATGGATTGTGTGACAGAATCCGTCCAACTTTAGGAGAAATTAGAGGAATTATTTTGGCTAAGGATACAAATGATGGTAAGAGAAAACATAAAATAATTCTTGGAGAGTATAATGAAGAACACAAGAATGTAAAGAGCATTTTAAAAGAAGATAAGAACAAGCACGGGAAAAATGGCGAAACGATTTTTGAAGACGACGATGACGAGCATATGATAAATGGGAAAAATATTTTAAAAGAAGAGGAGGATGATTCTGAGAGTAAGCAAGTTATTTTTGAAAAAGTCAGTAAGAATTTGTGAATAAATAGATTTTGTTTTGAAAATGAAATAAGAAAATAAAGGAAATACTAACAATTGAAAAAATTTTGTTTAAAATACTACAATTAATTATAAGACATTAGATGACTTTATAAAATATACAGCTTTTAGAGGCATAAAGCACTAAGTTATACAATTCATTATTTTTGCATATATCATTTATCTCTCGTTTCTAAATATATTCACTTGTTTCCAATAAGATAGGCGATTAATTAATCTAGTTATTACTTTCACACTATCCATTAATACTTTAGCACTTCTGATGTTGAGTTAATAATCAGTTTATTCAGTAATTCTTACAAAATACAAATAGTTTATCTATCAAATAGAATTAAAAAGTTATTTGAATCTGACATATGTATTTCCATTATATTAGGCATTAAATTATTACTTTTTTCAATTTTGTGAAATTTTTATATTTAAAATTATCTATTTACCGTATTTCCTATATTAGAGCCCCACCCTCTGTTAGAGCCCCACCCTCTGTTAGAGACCCACCCTCTAATACAGCCCCACTTTGGAGGATAGTTGAAAAATAGAGCCCCACACTCAATTAGAGCACCACCCTTTAATACAGCCCCACCCTGGGGCCTGTTTCAATTAGCATCACATCTGCGATGTGATGATACGATGTGATGAAGAATCATATCCCCGATGCGTGTTTCAGGAAAATCATACGAATAATCACATCGCAGATGTGATTAATCATATGAGAAAATTACACGCGTGTTTCAATTAATCATATCGTCACATCGCTGATGTGATCATCACATCGTACGTAGAATCATACGCGGCGTATGATTTCTCATATGATTAATTATACGTATGTTTCAATTACAAAATATTGAGACGTATGATGTTCGTTATATGATGAGTTTTGCCTTGGAAACATCATATGTAGACATACGTGCTTTTTGGTACATATGTGCCATTTAAAGAATCTTTTTAAAAATTTTTAAAAATCCTAATTCAACCTAAAAATTCCAAATTAAATATTTTTAGATAGGTATAAACTGATTATTAACACAACATCAGAAGTGCTCAAGTATTGATGGATAGTGGGAAAATAACTAGATAAATTAATCGCCTATCTTATTGGAAACAAGTGAATATATTTAGAAACGAGAGATAAGAGATATATGCAAAAATAATGAATTGTATAACTTAGTGCTTTATGCCTCTAAAAGCTGTATATTTTATAAAGTCATCTAATGTCTTATAATTAATTGTAGTATTTTAAACAAAATTTTTTCAATTGTTAGTATTTCCTTTATTTTCTTATTTCATTTTCAAAACAAAATCTATTTATTCAAATTCTTACTGACTTTTTCAAAAATAACTTGCTTACTCTCAGAATCATCCTCCTCTTCTTTTAAAATATTTTTCCCATTTATCATATGCTCGTCATCGTCGTCTTCAAAAATCGTTTCGCCATTTTTCCCGTGCTTGTTCTTATCTTCTTTTAAAATGCTCTTTACATTCTTGTGTTCTTCATTATACTCTCCAAGAATTATTTTATGTTTTCTCTTACCATCATTTGTATCCTTAGCCAAAATAATTCCTCTAATTTCTCCTAAAGTTGGACGGATTCTGTCACACAATCCATTTAAATAAACCTTGTATTCATTATCTTTATCGTAGTACGTGTCTAAATTTCTACATAATTCCTCCATATAAATATAACGTAAATAGCCCAATTTAATTGCAACTTTTAAATCAATTATCTGTTGAATTGCTCGTGCCTTAATTAGAATTTATATTAATACCCTTACTAGAGATGTCAAATCCTAAATTATTAGTAAAATATAATGGATAACAATAATATTTATTTTTAAATTGTTTATAAAATGTGTTCAATTTTATCGTGTGTGTAAATTTTATAGTGATCAATATAGTTTTAGATAAACCCTATTTTATTTTGTTTAGCCACTGAGAAGAACTGTCAAACAAAACATATCAAAGAGATTAAATTTAAATACTCTTCACATTAAAATATAAATTTACCTAATTTTTGATATTTTTCACTTCAGCCTAATTTCTATTTCAGTTTAAACATTTAATTTACTTTACTTTACCTCCTTTTCAACATCCTCTTCATTTAAACTTTCAGTGTATTTAACAGAATGTTCTTCAAATTTTTCCAATAGTTTTAAAACATAATCTACTTTATACAAATCAAGGATAGGTTTACCATCTCCTTGCTTTATTTTTTTAATAATTTCAACTAATTTATCGAAATTTTCCTTAAGGCTCACATATTCTATAGAAGAGTATAGTTGATCAAAATTCTTAGAATATTCCATTATAAGATGAAATTTATCTTTACTATCATTTTTTATTTGAGGGTCAGGGTAATAAATATGTGGAATGTCTAAAATATTAATAATAAAACATTTACTGTGATTTTTATAAGGGGGTATGTTAAAATGTAATTATGAAATATTAAGCTAGTAGCCTAGTGATTTCACAATCTAATGCATATAATGTATATATATGAAAAGAGGAGGCTTAAGGATGCGGACCAAAATAAAAAGGTATACGAACGCATAGGCGGAAGGGCGAAGGAATGAATGCGGAGGAACCATTTATGGAAAAACTCATAAATTTATTTTATAATTTTACTCGAAATGGCTTAAATTTCACTGCTCTATCAAAATTTATTAAATATTTTACCATCTTCAGTCAAGTTGTCTTTTATAAATTTTTTTGCTAGTTTATCTAGTTTTTTTGATTTCTCTTCTAAAATTATTTTAATAATTTTAGAACAATCAATTCATAATTAAAACTATATAATTTACCAAGTTCTAATGCATTCATTTCTGTATCGCTTAATTTTTCTTTTCCTTTTTTGGATGATTTTCCTACTGTTTTATAAAATTATGAAACTTTATTATTTATTATGAATAGAATTAAGAGTAGCAGTATCGAATGCTTTCAAACTGTCGAGCTAAGGACTCTGAATGAATCCATTAATTAATAATAGAATTAAATTAAATCTATTTTAGATGGGCTATGCAGGTTTATAATCTTTAATGTTAAGTGTGTGATTAGTACTAAAGGTATGACATAAATAAAACCAATTATCTTTAAAATTGGAACAATCCGTAAAAAATGATTTAATTAAATTATTTACCTTTAAACGTCCGTGCAATAATTTTTTGAATGAATTTTGATTTTTTAAATTTAGATGTGTTTTTGTCCAGCAATGGTAATTTAGTTTGATCTAAATCATAAATTTATACATCCAGTTAATGTTACCCGTAATAGATTTACTAGCCTCTTCTGAATTTTTTTCTTTATTTGAATCATGCTTAACATTTTTCTTTTCCTCGACAAATTTTAATTTTTTAGTTGTTTTATCTAAAATTAAGTTATAAATAATATGCACACTTTATAATATAAAAATGTCCATAAAATTCCAATAAGACATTGAAATCTTGATTAAATTTTGAACGAATGTGATAAGCGAAGATTAATCGCAAAAATCATGACTCCATTCTTTTTATCAATGTAATTTTCATTCGTTGTAGCAGAAAAACCAATCGCGAAAAAACAATTTCTAAAAAATCTTATGGTTTTCGTTGAAATCGAAAATGTCTTGCTTAAATGCTAGCAAACATTTGAAAGAATGTACAGACTAAAATTTTTATCGAGCTTATAATAGATTTACTTGTTTTGTCGAGAGAATTTCTGTCAGTTGAAGAACTTTGTGGATCAGCTGAAAAATTCTAAATTTTGTAGTTCCAATCCTCAAAAGAGCAAATAATTTTCAACCCTCTCTTGTTGGTGCCTTATTATAGGAAGCGAGTGGGTGGTTTCAAGATTTTCCAAAGTGGAATTATTTAGCAATGAAATCATTATGAGCTTCTCCTTATTTTTTTAAAATTTAAATTATGCTAGAGTTTTGCCCCTATCATTGCTGTCATTAAATAAATATTGGTTTACCCATAGATGATGGACTTGTTCTGGCTGCAATGCTTTGTGTTGCTGAACAAATAATTGACAAAACAAAAAATAAAATTTTTAAATGAAATAATATTGTTTTAGTCGGCATTAGGAAATAGCTTTTCTTTTTAAAATAAATAAAGTCTCTTATAAAAAATATTTTTAAAAATATTAAAGGCAATATAAATAAATGATTGATAGACATAAATGGGCAAAATTACTTTTGTCGGTTTTTATCAATGGAAATATTAAGAAACATCAAAAGTGCATTTATTCATATGAAAGGCATTTGCATGTTTTATTGAATAAAAGCCGATTTATGTTGCATTTACTATAATAATGTTGTGCCTCGAACGCTGTGGGCGGTTATATCGGACGTATGTTTTAAATCATAGAAACTAATAATAATTTAACTAAAGTTGCAAAATGGTTACCATATTACTCTAAAGACCATCTTGCACTTATTCAAGATCATACCACCCACGGCCGAAAAATATTGGTTCGGTTTTTTAACCGACTGTGACAAACCCTAGTTATATTTGGTATTTATAATTTTTCTTTTAAAAACAAGAGCAGAGCATTGAGGAAGTGTTAGAAGAACAAATTGCATGCCTTCAATAAAGCCTAATGCCGCTTATCAAACGAATAATAAAAAATAGGTATTATCACATAAAAATTTAATCCTCGTTGTATAATGCATGAAAAACATTTCGAATCAGCTGATAAAGTTACAAAATTAAACGAATCAAGATTATCGTTTATGTGTAACATCTTGTTTTGACCTTTAATTTTTCTCATTTTTACTTGTTGACGGTTCATTACTTTCTTTGTTGTATTTTGATATAATATCATGATAACGTTTTATGAACAAATGCCCAGGATTATTATCGGGCACATCTGGATTAAAAATTGCATATGAAAGATCCTTAGCTTCTTCGGTTATTTCCAATTCTTTAACCACCATATTAGCTTGAACAGAGTTTATTTTGAAGGCCAAAAAAAGTTTTTTAAGACGAGCATAGACTAGTACAATTTCTGCGATGTTTATGATCACATCCTTAAATGTATTTTATAA